GCAATACGACGTCGAGAAACTCCAAGTGGCTGCCTACAGTGTTGGTGGAAGTACGACGTAAGTGTCTGACGAGACCATCAAGACGGTGTCGGAATACAGGAGCAATACAACGTCCAAGAGAGTTTTGTGTGGTTTGTGGCGGCATGGGATGAAGGGGTATATCATCTAGGATGTGACAGAGGAGGGAACGGCGCCAGCGAAAGGTTTTGCGTTTTTTGATAAATGGGACATGATTGTGGCGTCCTCCCTAGAGGTTAGGAACTATGGTGAATGGGTGAGGCAAGTAAGAGCCGAACGAATCATCGTGAATTGCCCCGACGAGATGGATGTGAAGGCGATGTGTGCATGGATGAAGCGTGATGAGACCAAAGAGAAACAAGCTGAATGCTGGAAAGAGGTCAAAAAGCACATGTATCTTTTGGGACCGATTCCGCGTCACGTCTTTGATGAGGAGGCGTTTACGGAACGCTGTGGAGCGGTGAAGTTTGCATTGCAGTCGATCAACGACGTTACTGTGAAAGAGTGCTTTCCACGGGGAGGTGAGTCGCCATGGTGTTCTGAGGACCCGTCCCACAAGCCCGTGAGGGTTGTTCGGGAAATATACGAAGGCAGTGTGATCCTTTTCAATGCGCCGATGTGTGATTGCCTCGAGGAACGGACATTGAAGCGCCTCCCAAGTGTAGCAGAATAAAATAGTTTTTTGAAGCCGATGTTGGCGTCGAGGGATAATATTTTGCCAATATATTTTTGGATGGTTTGCTTTGAAATCGTTCACGGAGAGTGCCTTTGCCAAGGCAATAGCAACGGAACCCACGGAGCTTGAGCCGCCAACAGGACGTCAAGCAAAGCCCTGCGTTTTGTAGTTGGCCCCTGAATTGCATCCCAAGGGAGATGAAGGTTTGCTGCCGAGTGAATATGGGAAAAAAAAATGGAAAACGGACCGCAAAATAAATTACGGGGTGCTGCACAAACCGTGGGCCGCAAACTTTCCGCTGGTGGACGCCTTTTTTTCTCGGAGCCCAATCCAATGACGCTGGTTGGGCTGCGGATGACTGCGGCGCATGCGCATCACACCACCGTCAGGACTGTGCGGCAGTTCACTGAGTGCCTGGCGGCATATTTTAATGGTTGGAGGAAATTGTCCCGGGACATGTCGTGGGAGATTATTTACGTGCAGCACGCAGACAGCACGCCGATGAATGACTGGCAGGGATGTGATGTTGTCAATTCCAATAATGTGAGCGAGGAGAGCCGTGAAATAGCGGCGTTTTGGAAGGAAGAGGTGCGCCAGTACCAAGTGCCAGTATCGTACAGAGGCTTTAGAAGAGAAGAAGCACTCCGAAGTGAGGAAGAACCGTCGAAATAGGAAAACAAATTGGGGAAAGGGGCAATTTTGATTTGTGGTAAAGAAATATTGTGGGATTTATGTATTCTTGGATACTTGTGTATGCATACGGCGCAGGTGCACCAGCACAAGGCGGCAGTATATCGCACAGATTTCAGAACTGTCCAACGCTATCGAACTTAACAGTGGCCGAAGAAAATTAGGGAGGGGAATGGGTTGTTTGGCTTCTGGTGAAAAACATTGGGTGACTTCTATATAGTATGTTAGTTGTGTGTTTGCGCACGAGGCATAATTGGAGAATTTCCCCGGTATGAGGGAGTCAATGTGGCTGGCGGTGTCGCAGTACTACTGCATTGCCCATTTTATTCTGTTGTGCTCTAAGGCCCATCACGAACAGAAGCATCTTTAAGGGATGGATGAAGGATAAGTTCTATTGGGGAAATGGTGTGCTCCGTGTGACCGCATGGAGCGAGGCGCCGCGTCATGGATGGGTGAGGATCCGCTTCCGCGTGTGGCTCTTTGGGTGATTGCTCGCTTGGTGTGCGTTGTCTGTTGGCTGCGGGGCTGTGGCCGTATCCCGTGTTGTCGGGAGAATCCAGGAGCCGGCAATATTTCCCTTGTGGGTTCTTTTGTTTTGTTGCTGGCGCAATGCAGACGTCATCTATCAGCGTCCGGACTAGCCGCGTCGTGCCGGGACACAGTTGTGGCACCACGAGGTGTGAGGGCACGCGTTGCCGTGGCGCGGGCCATGTATTTGAAAAAACACGAGGGAGGACAACAGAGGCACAACTGTGCGTGCTGCAGCAAGTCGGCACTGGAAACTGAGAGGGTGCGCCCTGCGCCTGTTGTCATGCACTCTCATAGCCACGTTTTGAATGGAGCGTGTTGTTGTTTCTCTGAGGCGGGCTCCGTGCGCTAACGCGACAGGGGAACACGGTTGGCGGTGGCAGGAGTTCTTTCCCGGAACGACACTGGAGTGCAGGGTTCCCGGAGTGGGTCGCTCGCCGAGGTGGGGACGGCTCTCAGGGATTGCCCCGAGGCTGCTTCTCAATTCCGTTGTGGTTCTTGACGGCCAATCGCTGATGGGAGAGCGAGAGATAGTGTGCTGTCGTGTGATTTCTCTCAGTGGCACCCGTTGGAGCGATGCATGTGTGTTTGCCTTGTAGATGTGGTGTTAGCGATCTTTACTTCACGCTATTCGGTGGAGCAGCAGTGAACGGGGAAGTGATGCGGTCACGAGCTGCACGGGTGTGGTGGAAACGGTTACGCGAGCCTGTGGATGATCCGAGCAAATCCAAGTGTACTATGCGGTTTGGGTCTACAGGGAAGGAAGAAACAGTGGGCGGCTGAGGGGAGTTGCAATGCACGCGGCGGCAAAAGATGGCATGCGTTGCTGAGTTCACGTTGACTGCCACTTTGGGTGCTTTTTCTGGAGGCCGTGAATCCTTCCTAATTTACTTGGAGGTGCTTGGTGACACCAGACGTGGAGGGCGTTTTCATTTCATACGAGGATGGCACACTGGAGACAAGGACGAAAGGGAGCGACGCCTCGCCAAAGGAGCGGCTGCTGGAACGTTGAAGAGACTCGGGATTGTTTGCACGGCCAGCCGCTTGCCCTCTGTAGGATGTTCATTGAGGCGTTCATTGGCGCGAGAGTGAGGTGCACGCACGGGCAGGCACCGCGGCAACAGTGTCGTTGGATCCCCGTTGCACGAATGAGAAGGCGCATGTCAGGCGTGGCAGGTGACGTCCCCTGCGAGCCCTCCCACAGCCTCTTCTGTTTCACACCTCGGCATTTTCTGCGCTGTGGTCACCGCTCCCATTGGCCGCCCTCTGTGACACGAGAGCCGCCTGTATTCCTCTCCGTCGCATTGCAGAGTCGTGAGGAGGGCCTGAGGGTGCGTTGAGGAGCCGTGTGGCCTCTGCGAGCATTTCCACTGTTTTTCTGAGGTGTTGAATTTTGGATTACCGAAACGCACCTTGAGTGCTTGCGTCAGAGGCACACATAACTAAGGGACAGGCGTGTCTGTGGAATTGAAGAAGGGCCACACCATTGGGAGGAGGAAGAGTGAATGGGTGGGTGTGTCTGTGGCCCACATGTGGTGCCCGACTGGTGCTTCACTTTGTTTGGTGCTATTATGATTCGCCTCCACAAAGAATGGCATTGGGTGCTGTTTTTCCCAACTCTCTTACTGTGTCTGTGTGTTGCGTGTTTGTGGGCATGACTCTTCTTCCGTGCTGTGCATTTGCCGCGTAAGCTGCTGATGTTCTTTGTGGCACATATGATGATTTGCCGTATTTTTTTGGATTGTGCCTTGATCTCCGCCGCGGGATGACAGCCGGATTGGAGGCGTTGCTTTTTCTTCACTGTGACCACGTGCGGTGTTTATGGGAGGCCTCTCGGGGAAGCGCCAGCCGACATTGTTGTGAAGCCCAGGCATGATGCCACACTGCTTGTTGACGTGGAATGAGTTGAGAGGTTTGCATATAAGCTCCTGTGCATTCTTGCCGTGGTGCTCCTCACGCACAGCCCATGAAGACGACTGGTTGAGAATTGTCAATGGGCTTCTCGTTGAGCGGAGGGGAGCATACTGCCTTGTTTACTCATTGAGAGCCCGGGCGTCACGGATGATGCATGGGGCAGGCGGAACATCGTGCATGGCGGAAGGAGGAGACGAAGGGCTGGTTGTTTGATTGTTAGCGATGAATCCTGTCTCACTGCTTGGAGGGAGCTGTCGTTGGCTGGGGCAACCTGTTTTGTGTGTCCAGACACTGTTTGCGCCGAGTGGCGCGGTGCCGTGTTGGTGTGCGCGGCTCCATCGTGCGGGGAAGCAGAGCGTGACGTTTACGGACTGTGTGCCTGTGAGCTGATGAACGTGGCGGGAGGCGTGTCTGAGGAGAATCTGCGAAAGAAGGAGTGACATGCGTTTGGCGGTGCTGTGCGATGTGCGAGGGGAGGAAAAACATGTGCTTTCTGACATGTCGGTGGGTGTGCCACGGCCACCGATGAGTTCTCAGGGAGAGGGAAAGGAGGGAGTGAGACGGAGACTGTGCGCACCCACCGCGGCGTGTGGTGCCAGAGGATGCGATTGCCATTACGACGGGCGCAACGGCCATCATGCGTGCATCAGAGCGTCATCTGCATCATTGTGCCTGCAGAGCCTGCAGGTGCTGCGAGGAGGTGCGGACGACCTCTCGTTATTGGGCTGCTAAGGCCGTTTTTCCTCTCTACCCAGCGGGAGAAGCAACTCTTCCTGCACGTGACGTGCTGGTCTGCATCGATACTCCCAACGGGGTGTCACGCAGCCGTGTCGTTGCAGCGCAACTCTCGTATCCCTCACTGCACACGTGGACCTGTCGCTTGGCTTATTTGCAGGGCCATGGCCTGTGGTCCCCATTGAGAGGTCGTTCACGTGCTTTTTTTTTTAGTATGCTGTTGAGAGGTGCTGGAGAATAATGGCTGCGGGGATGTTAATGTTGTGGTTTGCTGTGAGTGGTGGCGGTGTGCACTGCTGTTTTGTTGCCTTTCTGCCGCTGTTGCCTGTTGCTCTTCTCCAAGAAGGAAAGCAAGAAAACAAGCGCCAATCACTACTGTGAGATTCGAAGGCACTGAAAGGACCAACAGCACGCACACCGCCCACACACACATATTTATATGCTCTCACGTGTTGCTGCGGTGAAGGCACCCCGCCCACGCAACCGTCGCCGCGTGACCGGATCCAGCGGAAGGAGGAGGGATGGAAGAGAGAGTGAGCCGCAGAGGCCCCACATGTCCCGGCGTGTGTTTGCTTCCGCGGTGCTGCTTCTACTTGTTGTGATAATGTGCTGCAACACTGGTGGAGCTGCAGCCGTTGTGCAGGGTAATTCCGGGGATGCGCAGCTGCTTCAATGGGTCGATATTTTTGTGCCGGAAAAGACGCAGGTGCTGCCCAAAGAGGGGTCTAAAAGTGAAGTGAAGAAAGCATCTGCTGCGCCTTCTCTTGTCAGTGCTGGTGGAGTAATGGTTGCCTTTGCTGAAAGCTTGTTTGGTTATAACATCGATGAACATCACTTGCTTGGGATTCGGCCTTACGAAATTGTGGCCGGGTACATCAAGGCTGCGGAATCGTGGCCGTCCATTGTCGCTGAGGTCAATGCTGGTAAATGGAGGGCACACACCGTTTTTGGAAGTAGGAATGGCAGTGATCGTGTGTGTTTTTTGTGCCGGCCCACAGCAGTTGCAAAGGACAATAAGGTGTTTCTGCTTGTGGGAAGCGATACTGTAGGATATTACAGCGATGATGATGTGTGGGTGCAAGATGGCTGGGATATTAAACTAGTTGAGGGTGTGGCCACGCAGTCCACGGACGGCAGGCAGAATACACTGGTCAGCTGGGCTCAACCCAAGTCGCTTTTAAAACATATCCCCAATCACACTCGAGATCAGCTGAGGGATGTTGTGACTGCTGGTGGTTCAGGCGTTTTGATGCAGAATGGCACGCTTGTGTTTCCCCTGGTGGTGAATGGGGAAAAATACCCTTTTTCCTCAATCACTTATTCGACGGACAACGGCAACAACTGGGTGTTCCCAGAGAGCATTTCTCCTGTAGGATGCCTTGATCCCCGCATCACCGAATGGGAGAAGGGACACATTCTCATGATTGTTGACTGTGTGGATGGCCAGACTGTGTACGAGTCGCGTGACATGGGGAAAACGTGGACGGAGGCCATCGGGACACTCTCGAGCGTGTGGGTCAGGTCACAACCAGGATTCCGTTGGGACGAAGGATTGCGTGTGGGAGCCCTCATCACCGCCACCATTGAGGGAGTGAAGGTCATGCTGTACACTCAGAGAGGGTACGCCTCGGGGAAGAATAGGGCCAATGCCCTCTACGTTTGGGTCACGGACAACAACCGCACTTTTCATGTTGGACCGCTTTTTGTGGAGAATAATGTGAATGAGACGCTTGCCAACGCCCTGCTGTACTCGGATGGTGCGTTGCACCTTTCACGAGAGAGTATTGTGGGAACGCGCTGGGGCATATCCCTTGCCCGCCTGACGGAGGAGCTGAATGCAATCAGGTCCGTTCTCAGTAATTGGGCGAGACTGGACGCCTTCTTCTCCAAGTCGTCCACACCCACGGCTGGTCTGGTGGCGGTTTTGTCCGATGAGGCCAACGATGGCACGTGGGTTGACGATTACCGCTGCGTGAATGCAAGCGTGACGAAGGCAGCGAAGGTCAAAAATGGTTTTAAATTCACGGGGCCTGGGTCCAGGGCAACATGGCCCGTGAACAGCCGGGAGGATAATAATCAGTACGGCTTTGTGAACCACGATTTCACTATTGTGGCGACGGTGGTCATCCACCAGGTTCCGAAGGAGAGCACTCCTTTGCTGGGTGCGGGTCTGGGGGACGGTTCCGGTAAGAAGATCATTGGGCTGTCGTACAGCATGATTAAAACGTGGGAGACGGTGTTTGATGGGACAACAAAAGCACAGAAAAACACTTGGGAGCTGGGGAGAGAATACGAGGTGGCGCTTATACTTCAGGACGGCCACAAGGGCTCTGTGTACGTGGATGGTGTAATTGTGGGGAGCTCGGAAGCGATAACAACACTTGAGACGCAGGGGCATGAAATCACTCATTTCTACTTTGGGGGTGACGAGGGAGACAGCGACAGCAATGTGACGGTGACGAACGTCTTTTTGTACAATCGCCCACTGAATTCCACTGAGATACGTGCACTCAAGGGAAGGGCACCCGTTTCGACAAGGGGTCCGGAAACCCAAGTGGAGGGAATGGCCACCACAGAGCATGTGGCCGCGGTGCCTGGCCCAGTGGAATTACCAGCAGCACCGGGGAGGACAACTATGGAAAGAGCTACAACCACAGAACATGCGGCTGCGGTAAGCTTTACCTCTGCTGGGAGCGGAATGCAGCCGCTACTTTTTCTGCTCGGGCTGTGGGGCTTTGCGGCTGCGTGAGGAGTGTGCGGCCTCAGTGTGGAACAATTGTGCCCTCCTCTGCACCGACACTCACACACACCGCTAGGAATAAATTTCACTAAGCAGGGGACAATTTCTTTTTTTTCAATGTTTTCCATTTTTTCTTGCTGCTTTAGGACGACCACCATGGACTTTTTTTTCGGCTTTTAATTTTTTTTTTTTTGTTCGGAGTATAAATTTTTATGTTTTTTTATGTTTGTTTTTAATTATTTTTGTTTACTTTTTAAAAAAGATTTTAAGTTTTTTTTTCCACTTTTTCCTTTTTTTTTTTTTTGCTTTTGGGGGCAATCACGATGGACGTTTTTTTCTTTTCTACTCTTCCCCCCTTTTTTTTGTTGCTGCACTCTTCCTGTGAGGGGTGCCGTGTGTTTCCCGCCCAACTGCTCCACTCGCACACCCACCGACACGCTCATGACGACGGCCCTGTGCGCCTCGCCTGCTGCACGCATGAGGAGGGGCGGCGACGAACGGCGCGCTGAGGGAGCCGTGACGTGTGGGCGTGCGACGAGGGCCTGTGGGGCGGCGCACACATTTCTTCCCTCTTGTTTTGTTTTTTTTGCGGCCAGGGCGGGCAGACACCCGCAGCGCCACACACACAGCCACGCCCTGCCGCTTTTAAAAAGTAATTTTGCTTGCTCTCTTTGACTTTCTCTGATGATTTTTTTTTTTTGCTGCGCTCACTCTCCCGATGGAGTGACGCGACTGCCGTCGTGTCTGCGTGCTTCTCTCAGTCCCCCCACACACGAGTGACTGTGCTCTGCGGGCCGCACTCACGCCCGATGAGAGGGCTGAGGGGAGCAGCAACACGCAGATGACCCCATGAAATATAAACGCTGTGCGGACACATGGAGGGTCGGACGGCTGAAAGACATTTAAATATCTTTTAATTTTATTTTCGGACAAAATATGCGGATAATTTCTGGAGCAACATGGTGGTTGGGTGCTTTTTTTGTGTGTGGTTTTTCTTTTTCATTTTTCTTTTTTTACTTTTTATTATTTGTGTGTAGCCGTAATAGAGGACGACATTTTTCATTTTTTTTTCTTTTTTTTCTTCTTTTTTTTTCTTTTTTTTTTTTTTTTTTAAAGGTGTGAGGTGTGGAAGGGTGAAGATGAATTTTTTAAATTATTTTTATTTAATTTTTTATGAATTGCCGCTGCCTTGTCTGCAGTGCGGTTATGAGTTTGAACAGTACTGTTATTTGTGCCATTCACCTCTGCTGTACTGTTTTTGTTTGTGCGCCCCCTCACATGCTCTGCTCCTGTTTTTACTTTTTTGCCTCGTGTGTCTGCAGGCACACACAACCACATGCATGCACAAAATACACATCGCAGTCGATTTGGATGCTTCTTTTGTGGCGTGTGCTGGCGGTTGCGGGTGGCTGCTGCTTCCTTTAGTGGGCATGAAGGGAAGGAGGAGAGAGGGAGCGCACCGCGAGTCACTCTTCCTGCGGGTGTGATGCGCGCGGTGGGCTGCGACTGCTGTGGAGGGCCGCATCCTTTCGGTGTGCGCTTCTCCGCCGTTGTGCCGTGCGTTTGCGCATGTCATTTTTTATGCGCGTGTGTGTGCTGGGCATGTTTTTCCTGAGCGTTGGGTGGCCACCATCTGTCGATGGCGGCTTGTGTGAGTGGGCACGTGCGGATGAGGGCCAGGGCGTATGGAATGAAGGAATGACGTGAGGAAAGGGGAATTTGATTTGGAGGGTATTTGGACCGGATTCATTTGGCATGCGGTGGACACATGCACGACGGATGTGTTTCCGCATAGTGGGGGAGGATGCGACAGGATTTTCTGAAGTGGCCCGTCAATGCAATTCGGGTTTCATAGCACTGAGGCACAGTGGTCTCCCTGCAATGGCTGGTGACGGCCTCTAGTGGACCGGTGTATTTATGCTGCTGCTGCTGCTCGAGGAGGCGTAGAAGTGCGATTTGAGGTGAGCGGCGGAAGGGCCGCACATCCCGCAGTGATGGTCGTCGTTGGCCCAGCGGGTGCCTCTGAGGGTTTTGTTGGATGCAACGTCCTTATGCCCGTCTCCGGATGGCGGCATCCCTGAAGCCGCCAACGAACGGGGCTGGGAGCGACGGTGAGACGCAAGCACGTGTGGATGTTTGGAGCGGCCGGCGCACCGCACGCTGAGAGCATGGCGCGGTGAGGACCGGACCCAGAAAAGGGACACCGCGTGGGACGTCAATCTTCACTGCAGCGACCGCCACCGAATTTGGATTTGCTCGCACCTTCTGCGGTCCCTCTTCCTCCCCTCACTTCTGTGCCGAGGACTGTGCCGCGGGATCCAGCAGCGCGATGTTTGGCCGCAGGAGCATGGCCCGAACACATGATTTGTGGGAGGGGATGTGCACTGCGACGAGAAGGAAAAAAATGTTGCGAGACGACCACCACTACAAGACCGGAGTGAAGTTGTGTTTTGTCCACTTGCGCGAGGGCAGCCTGCCACCTGGTCGGTTAGGAGGATTATTTTTTTTGCGTCGTTGCGCTCTCTTTTTATTCCGCTGCGTTTTCCTGCGGACCTGCGAAGGGAGATTTGCAAGAAATTCCTGCGAGGCGTCCGTGCCGTCGTCGGAAAAGTGGATTCCCCCTGAAAAACGCCACTTTTTAGATTTATTGTGGGCGGGGAGTTCCTGTCGATTCAATGCGACTTTGTTTTGCGTATTTGATGCGTGTGTTTCCGAGCGGTTCGGTCTGTGCTCCCGGCCCACTCGGATGTGGTGTGCGCGTCGACGTGAGGGTGCCTGCCAGCCGTTTTATTGCCTTCCCCGCTGTGGCTGCCGCCGCTGCCTTCTTCCCTCCTGAGGTCCTGCGGCTTCTTGACAAGATGTTTTGGAGAAGGCGTTGCCGCTCTTATCGTCCATTGTATTTTGATTCTGGTGTCGCGGTCAGGAGACATTGAACGAGAGGGTTTGCTGCCCTCTTGTTTTATTTGCCCTCTCTGCCTGACGGCCAGCTCTACACAAACGTGCTCCTCGGCACCTCAGTTGGTGCTGGCGGGTTTGCTCACAGTTGTCACTGGCAATCGCATGCGCCAACTCTTCTCTGCTCCTTTTCAGTGTCGCATTTTTTTATTGATTGACGGACGCCATTCTGTCCGGCGTGTCACTTTGATTGGATTGTGTGGGACTGCTCGCCAACGCCATCGGAGAAAGCAGGCCGACTTTTTCACTTATTTAAATCCATCTTGCGCGCAGGTATTTTTTTACGCTCTGTTGATGTGCACTCAATTAGCGAGGAATCCGGAAATATGCGTGCGTGGAATTCTTCCTGCCATGTGGACTGCGGGGAACACCGAGGGGCTGCCACTGTTATTCCGCAGAGTTGTTGTGTGTATTCAGGGGGTTGGCAGGGAAATTCCATGCCTTCTGCTACTGCTGGTGTGTCCCCAAATGTTGTCACTCCATGCGAATAATGTGCTTCAGCGAGTGAGGGGATTGTTGGGTTTGTGTGCACTCTGATTCTGCTTGCTACTTTGTGCGGGCACGCAAGAATTGAGTGGTGGGAAAATGGAGCGGGGCGATGCGTGGCTGCGTCTCGTCCATTGTTCACTGCACGATGGTGTGGTGCGCATTGTGGTGCTGACTCTGCGATGTGACTGCGGTCTCCTGCGCGGCAGTGGCGGTGGGTGGACGAGAGTGTTGGGCCGCGGCGGGACGGTGGGATCGCGCTTTTTTCTTTCTCTGCGAGAGTGCGGAGTTATTTTTATCGCCAGTGATAGGGCAAACAGACCGACAACGTGAATGAAATAAAATAAAAAAAGAGAAGGACGATAATGTGGCGGTGTTGTGGCCAATTGCACGTTGTGTTGCTGCGGGGGCGGTGGGCGTTGACTGTTTCACCGACAGGCGTTGCAGTGCGGCTGCATGGCGCACCGGCCGCCCCGCCGTGCGAGTGCCACGCCCAACGCCATTGGGACTGCGGGACGAGACAGCCGCGACTGTCCTTTGGAGCCAGCGGCACCTTCTGGCCGCAGTTGGGCGGTGCGAGTGGGATGCTTCACCGCACGGGCGTTGTGATGGCGCCTTGAAGCGGCATCTCCGGCGATGGTTCCGACGCTGCGGCTCGACATGCGGTGGGGAGTAAAGAGCGACCGCAGTGGACTCTTGACAGTCGGCTGCATAAATTACTGCTGGAGGGAAATGAACGCATCACCAACATGGGGCTGAATGATTTCCTTCGGAATTATTTTGGCGGCAGGGGCGTTGAGGAATTCAGTGAGAACGTCTATCTGAAGGACCTTTTGAGTAGCCCCAATGACTTCATCCAAGACGAAGTGTTATTGAGCCCAATAAAGGCATTGCCGTCGTACCAAGAGCTGAAAAAAGAGCGTGAGGAGTTTTACGTGCTATCGGAGTCTTCACATAAGCTTAACAGAGAATATATTGTCACTCTCAGGCAATGGAGGGAGTTTAAAAGAAAGGATACGGTCACTCCTCTTGCAAGGGCACAGATAAGCACAGCCTGCTCTTATGTACTGAGAGTAGAGAGGCGGAGGGCAGAAGAAGGGGAAAGGCGAGAACGACAAGGACTGGG